TTATATTTGATATTTACAATTATATTGTAATCATATATTTTAGAATTTGTTCCCACACATTGTTTTAAGTGATTTTCTTGATTGAAATCGCTGTAAATCCTAACAAATAAACCCTAACACCACCTCTAAACCACCACTGCACCACCTCTGGCAGCCCCTTACCCCATCATCCCCTTGTCGGCGAGCTGATAAGCAGCCTACCCCCACCCCGACATCCACCCCACCTCTAAACCACCAATTGCACCACCTTTAAACCCCCAACCATCCCTCCCACCCTCGAAAAATCCCCCTTCCCCACCCGCCAGCAGCCCTAACCCCCTCCCCCTCGCGGTGAACCCTACTGGGCCCTCCCTAAGCCTCCTCCACCCCCTTCCCCCCTTAATCACCACCCTAAAGTCCCAAAATTAAAACCCTAAAGTCCTAAAATTAAAACCCTAAGGGTGGTGATTAATGGGGAAAGGGGGTGGAGGCAGATTGGGGAAGGCCGAGCAAGGTTTTCCGGCGAGGGGAAGGGGGTCAAGGCCGCCGTGGGTGGGGAGGGGGGGTTTCGTGAAAGGGAGGTGGTTTAAGGGTGGGCGGATGGTGGTTTTAGGGTGGGGACCGAGAAAGGGGTGTTGTCATGGTGGGGAGTTGGAGGAGGTAGGTTCGCTTGTGGTTGGAGGGTGGGCGGTGGTGGTGCAATGGTGGTGTGGAGGTGGTTCTAGGGTTTAATTAGTTAATTAAGGTTTAAAAGTAACTAATTACAAATTAGTCGGATAATGATATCTCTTAAGAGCTTAAATCCCCTGATTAGGGAAAAGGGTAGCAATCACTTGAAATAATCAGTTTTAGGGGTAGTAATTAACAACTTTTTTTTTTAGGGGTAGTAATTCACAAAGCCTATATTTTTGAGGTAATAATTAACAAAATTTCCTTTATTAAACGATTATATAATATGGAATAAGAATTTTGTTATAATTTGAACATTACAAAGTTTATAAATGAACCTGTACAATAGTGTATCAAATGAATTTAAACAAGTAGATATAGAATTTGAACTATCTACCTTTTATAATTAAACATGAAGTAGTTTTATTATGAAAATTGTGAACTGTTTAAATGAACATATTTTTTAGTAGACGAATTGGGTTTTGGGACATCTTTTTCCCTATGATTTGATACGACCTTCGGGTTTTTTTATTTATGATAATTTTCTTTGTTAAAAAAAATTATGATAATATTTTTTAATAAAAAAAGGGTTAAAGGAAATGCTATAGTAAGGCGTATCTTTTATGTTATTGTTAATGAACAATGATATAGTATTAAACATATAGTTAAAGATATGATATAGTGCTGAGAAGAAAAAGAACTAGTAATGATATGATAATAAACATGTTCATTCTAATATAGTTTGGAAAAAAAAAAAAAACCCTTTTTGGTTATAATTTACAATAATATTTAACAAATAACATCTACTATTATAAACATTTAGTTTTTTGTTTATGAACATTTTGCTTACCTAATATGAACATATTTACTAGTCAGATGTCAGTTTTTGAAAGATGTGATTTATAATAGTACTCAAGGAAAAAGAAAAGGTATGTTTTTTTCTCAATAAAATTGAAGTGAAGTTGTATATCATCAAATATTGAAATATTGGATATTAAATTTTACAATACAATTGTATACTACATAGCATAGACAATAAACTTCATGATCCAATTTTAAATAAAAGGGCATGTTATAGGTTGATGACTTCATGTTACTTGGCGACTCCATGCATGCCTTCTTAGTTTCCTTCCTTTTGTCGTCTTCCTTTTTTTTCTTGCTTTTAGTGGTCTAACTATATTTACGATTTCTTTCATTTTTTTTAACCTAATAGACATAACATATTAATTATTGGCATTAAACAAGAATTAGTGTTGAAATGAATAAATTATCATTAAAAATAATGAACATGGAAGAGTATAACAATTGACATGATCGAAGTAATTGAGTATGAAAATGAACATCTATTAATGTATAAATAAACATATATTAGGTTGAAAATGACCATATGAAAGATAATGATCAATGAACATGAAATATATATAAAACCAATCCAATATAGTGAGACTTTCTCTCTCTAACTGAGATTTTCTCTCTCTAGAAATTTCTTTTTTTTGCCATGGCGAAGAAGAAAGCTAGGAAGGAGCCGAGTAGAGGGGAGGGAGGCAATTTTAGAACACAGATTGAGGATGGTTTGAAGGAAGCTAGTTATGATAACTTCATGCTGAAGGAAAAATCGAATTTGGGGCTTGTGGGTATTCTTCCTCCAAATTTTGGGATTTTGGAAAACTTGGATAATTTGATTCTTACTCCAGAGCAGTCGATCCAGGAGCTCATTCATGGCTCTAGAACTAAGTCGAAGCTATCGGAATGGCTGACTGTGATGAAATCGAAGGAAGTTGTTGCGGTAAACCCATAAACAGAGATCGATGAAAATAGGGGTCTAGATTTTGAGGTACGTTCTTCGAATTCGATTAGGGTTCTTGATAAACCTTTATTGCGATTGTCAATTGAGGATGTTTCTGATGAAATTTCATATTGGAAGTTTGGAATTGTTGCTTATATAATTGGGGCTAATCCTTTTTTCAGATCATTTAAGGTTTTTTGCAAACGCATGTGGGGGGAATAGAAATTGGATAAGGTAATTGCTCTTAAGAAAGGATTGTTTCTTATAAAATTTTTGAATGTTGAATCTAAGGATAAAGCTCTAAATGTTGCTAATGTGTTGTTTGATAATCGCCCTGTTTTTCTAAAACAATGGGAGGATGGTATGGACTTAGTGATGCAGAGTTTACTAGGGTTCCAGTATGGATTCAATTGCCTAATTTTCCATTAAAATACTGGGTAAGAATTGTTTGGAGAAGATAGTGTCCTTGATTGGTGCCCCAATCAAACCTGATTCTGCAACTCAATTGAAGGAGAGAGTTTAGTTTGCTAGATTTCTTGTGGAGGTTGCAATTGATGGTGAATTTGTGGATGAGATAGCTTTTATGGATGAGAGGGTGTGATGTTTCATCATAAAGTAGTTTTTAAGTGGAAACCGGTTAAGTGCTCTCTTTGCAAGCAAATTGGACATGAAGATGGGGGATGTAAGAAGATTAGGAAGGAGTGGGGGACCTAAATTGATTCAATCTAAGTCTGTTCAGAACGGGCAGGGTGCTATTACTAAGGGAAATAGAAGAGTTACTGAGGATGGGTGGGAAATTGCAAGAATTAAGGGAAGGAAGACTTTTAATAAAGGCAATGGATCTGCTAGAGTTGAGGTGATTGTTAGCAACTCCTTTGAGAAATTGCAGCATGCTAAAGATGTAGAGTTTGGTGAGGTATTGGGTAATGTGGCTCTGGGTGCTGATCAAGATCTGGAATTTGGTGAGGGAGTGGATGATGGGGCCCTGGGTATGGGGCAAGAAAATGGGTTATATGGATAAAGTGCTCTGCTGGAATGTAAGGGGTCTCAATGGCCTCTCAAAGCAGAAGGAGATTAAGAATTTCCTTCGATAACAAAGAAGTGGGTTTGTGCGGTTTGGTTGAGACTAAAATAAGGAGAGATAACTTTCCTATGGTTTAGAATAATCTGTTTTAGGGATGGTGTTTGATTTTGAATTTCTCTATTGTTGATGGAGGGAGGATTTTGGTTGCCTGGTTGCCTGATATTTTTCAAGTACAGGTGTTAAAGGTGGAGGGGCAGTTTATTTCACTTGAAAGTAAGGAATCTGGCTCTGAAAGTTTATTTTCATTTCACCTTTGTGTTTGGGGTGAATGATACTATAGGAAGGGAAGGTCTCTGAACAGGTTTGGCTGATATTGGGATGGTATGCAGGGTCCATGGTTGATTACAAGTGATTTCAACTGTCCTTTGAACTATGATGATAGAGTTGGAAGGCCTATTAATTCTTATGAGTTTGAGCCTTTCAGGAAGTGTATTCTGGATTGTGGGGTTGCTAATATGACTCAGACTGGGTGTAGGTACACATGGAATAATAAGCAACATGGGTGAAGCAGAGGTTTTTCTAAGGTAGACAGGACTTTGGTAAATGAAGATTAGATTCTGAGTTTACTTGAGTCTTTTGTTCATTATCTTCCCGAGTCCTGGTTTGACCATAGTCCTGTTATGATTCATCTAGATAGGGAAGTCAAGTCTGGGAAAGGTTTTTTCAAGTTTCTTAATATGTGGGCTAATCATGTTGATTTTAACCAGGTTGTTAGGAATGTTTGGGGAACTGATATGCATGGTGGATGTTGAAGAAAGCTCTGAAGGGCATGCACAGAACTGATTATGCTAACATTGAAATGAAATATTGTCAGTTGAATAAAGATCTTGAGGAGGTGCAAAAACAAGTTCAGCAAGGTGGCTGTCAGGATGGTGCTTTGAGAGATTCTGAGTTAAGAATATTAAGAGAGTTCCAAAAGGTTAAGGATAGCTATTTTTCTTACTTGAGTCAAAAGGCTAAGATAAAATGGTTACAGATAGGAGATGAGAACTCAACTTATTTTCACAGGTCTCTAAAGATGAGAAAGTTTAGAAAATATGTGATTGCCATTCAGAGCACTAATGGTACTTGGTGTAATACTCGATCCAGATAAAATCTCTGTAGCTTTTGTTTCTTGCTACAAAGAGTTGTTGGGGGTCATAGGTAATGATTTCCACATATTTGTTACCTCTTTAAAACCTAAGGTAATAATTACCTTTACTCTCCTCTAACAAACATAAAGGAAGACAGGTTTAAGTGATTCCTTTCAATGATTAAACTAAACAAATGAAAAGATAAGTGTTAAATTATTCCTTTCCTCCTCCTTATTTGTTTGCCTCCATTTCCATTGTTCATACCAAACGTGCCATTTGTGTTTGTGTGTATAATCAGATTTTTTTTTTTTTTTTATTTCTCTATAGAATACCTAATCTAGTTATCTAAATTAATGATGGAGGAAAATGCACTGTTTAAAGAAGAATTTACCTACCGATAAAATAGCACTTGCATGTCTAAACTTGTTGTATTTGAATATCATATAATTTACATTGTTTGTACAAGCTACAACTTTACATTTTGGCCTTTCCTAAATGGTTTAAAGTTACAACTTTGAACTTAAATTTATATATATACTACATAAATGGTTTGGGTTTTATGGGCTAGGTATATAGTACTAATGTGATAACTAATACTATACACAAATGTATTTCTAATTTGTACACATATTGCCATTGAAATTAAATTTTCATAGATCTAGAAAAAGACCAATATACAGGGTGTATACATAGAGCTATAGAAGGCTGTAACTACTCTATAAATCTGTCCAAATTGACCTAGTAGGGTCATTTGTCGATGTCTTTATGCTCAACCTTGGCTTTAACCTTCTTGTCATTCAAACAAGTACATGTGACAAACACATTGTTAACCTGCAAGAAATTCAAAATTCAAGCATTAGTAATAATAATAATTCTTAAGGTTAATCACTACATTCACTAGTAAACTTACACCTTGTTTATACTTTTAACAAACGTTAGCAATTCGGAACTCTTGATTTTCTATCGAGAACAAATTTGTCAACAGTTAACACACTTGAAAGCATATATATTGAAGTCAAGATTTTCATAAGATCACTAGTAGTAAGCTAGAAAAATTAATATATTACCTCCGTTAACAGTTATTTGCAACGATGGGACATTTTTCCTCTCTACTTTATGTCAAATCGTTCCAAATAACTGTTAACGGAGGTAGTAGAAGCACAAAAGTCACTAGTATAACTTCTTACCCCCTTATAATTTCCTTTTTTTTTTTTGGGACAAGCCCTTTTAATATCCTTTTTACATAGGCTCAGTCTGTATCACAAACTAAAACAAGAGTAAAATTATTTAACTAGAATAGGCAAGTAAGAGCATGGTTAATAGCACTTGTATACTTTTTTTTTTTTCTTTTTCTTTTGGCTAGTTAAAAATAATAGTTATTATACCAATCCAAAACCCCTCACAGTTCAAGCCAACCCATGTTAACAAGCTAGATACTTTGAGGGGAGGGGAGAGGATAAGGAGGATCTCCATTTCAAAGTATCCTTAGTGGGGATTGAGCTCCAACTTCAGGTTAGAATATTCCTTTCTTACCGTTGAGCCAATACAATGTTGGTAAAAAACCGAAGGTAAAAAATCCAATATAGTCAAATGGGTCCGAATTTGTGAGTGTCCAGATTTAGGTTGTGAGTCGAGGATGTCGAATTGAAGGCTCTTGTAGGAGTAGACTCGCCGGCACCTAAGTTTTAGTTCATCAAGCTACCAACGATCCCATTCAGTGTAACATTTTTCAAATAAAAATAAAAAATATCCAAAGCACACCCACCCTGCACAAATTTATACAAGATATGTCAGTGATTAATATAGGGACTCTTGTAATATGGTCTTATTTTCTCTTAAAGACAGAAATTCCTCAATAAGTTTTCTTATTCCAATGTTTAAGTAAAGATGTTAGCAGCCAATTTTGAATAAAGAATAATAAAAGCATGGAGAACATAAAACTCCCGTGAACATCAATGGAAAATCGTATGCATCAAAAGAAAAGCTTTAGTCTGAAGCCTAAAAGCATTACATATGTATAATAGTTTTCCATTTATCTTAGCATACAGGTTCGTAACCTAGGCAAACCTTTCATCAGATCGTTAACATAAATGTAAGGTATGCCACAATATGTTTTACACCCAAAAGTATTGTTTGCAATTTAAATGGAAAGGATACACACATGAAGCTAATTACTATGATGAATAAGTATTCCTTACTAGAATTGATCACAAAATAATTTGGTGGTTGTAGCAGCCACATGACAGGGAATAAAGACATGTTAATTAGGTTCAAAATGATTGCCAATACCATTATACTTATCAAGTTACTGTTGGGTTTGAGAAGTGTGGAGAACGGTTCAAGAAGGCATAGGGGTGCATAGCTTTGGTATCAAGCTATGGATTGTTTGCTTGGTGCAAAGCACCAATGAAATGCAGGGCTGACTTCAAATGAGCATATCTCAAGATCTAGAAATGATATTGATATGATTCAAGTTGGAGCTGATAGCTCCTCTCAAGATCTTTCCAATGAATGGTCATAAGCTCGATTTGGTCAAGAATCGAGGAAGTTATGACCATTTTACGAAGAGCTATCTGCGCATTGCGATAATTTGGTGGCATTGTTGGTTGAATTGTCATTGAAGAGAAGCCGTGGTGTTTGGTGTTTCAATGATAGAAAAAGACCGGAAAAGACGTGCCAAGTGAAGGTGTATTATGAAAGCTCACATGATAGTTGTGAGGGGTAAATGCAAATGTGGGTTTAGCATGTGTGAAAGGAAAATATGGGTGCTTGTTGAGGTGGGAGCATGGTAGGAGTGTTTCATCAACAAAAGAAAAAGGCCCAAAGGCTTGTGTTTGTTATGGAGGGTGAGTTCGTGTGGAGTTCGGTTGGAGAGCTCGGAGAACTAGGAAATTCCCTTGGATAACGTGATGTTTATCAAAGCTGGTGTAGACTTTGATGTTTTCTCCTTTAGTTGAGAGGTGTAATTTCCTTAGTGTAGAGGAAATGGGTGTATTGTCGGGGTTGGTTGATGAAATCTCGATGTTTGAATTGCTTTCTTGGTGTGTAGAGGGTAGTGTTTTGGAGTTGGTGTGGACTCCGGATTTTGCTTCCTTGGTGTAGAGGAAGTGGTGCGTACTTGGTGATATGTTTATTTTATATAGTGATTTACCCTCGTCCCTTGGTTATATTTAGGAGTATTTTTGGCACTACAGAGCTATTTTTATTACTAATATGCGCTTTCTAGTGCTTTCGTAGCTTTGGTATTGTTTTATATGAAATTGCAAATTTGGAGGCATTGTCTGGGATTATTTTAGCCACTACGAGCATTGGATATGGAGCACATTCATATGACCACTTTCCGCAACCCAGGACCGTGTTAGAGTAATCAAACCCAGTGATTAAGGGCTCGACGAGGAAGAAGAACCGAGGCATTGGACCGGAATTATAAAGATTCAAGGAAGAAGTTCGAACTTAGGCCAAGCTAACACCCCAAGTTGAAGAGTCCAAGTGATGCCCGGAAGCTCGCCCAAGAAAAAGGGATAGCAAAAAGGCTCCTCGAGGCTCGCCTCACTGGGCGAAGGAGAAGAGTCAGCCAAATAACGGTTCAAGAAGGCATAGGAGTGCATTGCTTTGGAGTTAAGCTATGGATTGTTTGCTTGGTGCAAAGCAACAATGAAATGCAGGAGCTGACTTCAAATGAGCATATCTCAATATCTAGAAATGATATTGAGATGATTCAAGTTGGAGGTAATAGCTCGTCTCAATAGCTTTCCAACGACTAATCATAAGCTCGATTTGGTTAAGAATCGAGGAAGTTATGGCCGTTTTACGAAGAGTTGTCTGCGCATTGCGGGAGTTCGACCAAACCTATGAAAGGTTCGGCCGAACCTAAGGTAGGTTCGCTCGAACTCAAACATTTGAAGGCTACTGCAAACGGAGTTTAACCGAACTGCTGGGAAGTTCGATCAAACCTGTTGTGCTCTGTTTTGCGGCCCGTTTTGCCCCTTTGCTACATGTTTTAATCTTGAGCGTAATATAGCTTTCTATTCCTTGCACTATATATACCCATGTTTAGTCATTGTAAGAGAGAGGAAATGATAAACGGAAAGATGTAGAAAGAGAGCCTCATATGTAAATCCAAACACTTAGGGTTTGAGTGTTTGGGGGGGGGGGTGGTGAGTTTGGTGTGGGAGCTTTCATGATGTTTGAAAGCTTGTAAACTAAATTGTTCTTTATCTAAGTATTACTCTATAGTGGATTGGTGGGTTTTTCTCCCGATTCTCGAGTTCCCACGGTAAATTCTTTTTGTATTGTTTATATTACTTGTTTTCTCCATTCTTCGTTTTTGTTAATTGCGTTAATCATAAACTAGCTAGCACATTCGTTAATCCTTTCAGTTACCCTATATGATGGGAAAGAGGCAAACGCCGAAATCAAAGTACATACATGATGATTTGAAATCATGGCAAATACTGGCATTGAAAATTGGATAGTTTTAGAAAAGAACAATAAAAACGGTATAACATTGCTATTCTAATGTTGCAGAAGTCCTGTAAGATACTTATTGAATTTTATTTTATTATTTTTTTTTTAATTTTTTTTTTTTTTTTTTTTTTTTTGGCAGCTGGGAAACAAGAGTAAAATTAAGATACTTATTGAGTTATTGTAATGCACTTAGGATCGTTGCATTACTTGTTTTTCGAGAAAGTAGTTTCACATGTAACAAAAAAAAAAAAAATGATTAATGTCTTATTTTATAAGTTAATTTAATTGTTGTTCAACTAGTATGTTTGCACCTACATTATGAACTGATGAAATTTGATTCGAGAAGGTATTCCATGTCAACAGTATAGACTAGAACAAAAAAAATAAGAGGGGAAGAGAAATAATAAATTTGCTTCTTCAAAACAGTCAGAATTTGCAAAAGACCATCTAGGGAAAGATTGTAGATGGAAAGGAAAACCTCAATGCAATTTTGGTAACATGTTTGTGTTGGAATTTAAGGGAGAAAAACTCCAAATAAGGTGGTACAAAGAAATTCTCTTATTTGTCGCATACAGAAAGAAAATTCAATTTATCTGTGAAAGAAAAAAATTTATGCAACATTTTAAGATGATAGAAACTTCGACTAATGAGATACTTCCTTGGAATGAAGGTTATCGTTAATCAAAATACACAGGGTATTTTTATTTGTTACAGAAAATGAGTAAGGGATTATTGAAGGATTTCAAGATAGATAATTGCAATCCTATTACAAAACCAATCCAGTTTAATAAAATTTATGCAGGAATGATTCGTCAAAGAAGGCAGATAAGATAAGAAAGATTTATAGAAGTATAACAGGGATTATTTTACTCTATCTGAAAGCAACTAGAATGGTTTTGATGTTCTCAGCAAGTTTACTTTCAAGGTTAATGCAAAATCCTCGGCACTTTCAAGGTTAATGCAAAATCCTAGGCAGGTTCAATTTCAGAAACTTTTGAGATAATGTCAAGGGATCTTTGAGTATGAGAATTTCTTCGTTACCTATACTGATCCATACTAATTTGGAATTTTAATACCTATTATTAATAGACTAAGCAAATACAAATAATCTAGGCAGCCATATCTAGACTTTGTGATTGTATGCTAAGAAGAATTGATAACGTTCATTGTGTAAATGTTTCAAGAATGCTGTTGCATGAACTCATGTAATTTAAATTAATTCTTTTACTTTTTTCCTATAACAACCTAATGTTTTATTTCTTGTTTTGATATAATCATACATATTATTGTAATTACCCACTTTAAATTGTTCCTCTAATCAGTTAGTTCTTCAAATGGGCTAAACTAACTAGTGTTGGTAAATAAGAACAACACAATAAAAATATAAGTAGAAATGATACCTGCTTGAAACGAAAATTGATACCCCCACAAATTTGTGTACCAGATACATTGTAATTGTTTCCGGTATTAAAACTGAAAAATTGCTGGCCACCAGACATACCTGCAATAATGCAAATTAGGTATACAGAAAATATGAAATTAAAGAGGAGAACCAAGAGTGGTACTCTCTCAATTTTAAACTCCATCCTAATGATTAAAACATTGGTTATAGGATAGTTTAAGCAGTTTCAATATACAGGTTCATTGATCTACGAGTACCTGAGATTTTGGTTCAAATCAGCACAATAGATCCTATTTTTGGCTATATCCACCAAATTCTCATTCATAAAATAGCAAATCTGGAGTCTGAAATCAGCAAAATCTCTAGCCAGATCCTTGTCACCACCCGTAGTCAGGACAGTCACCCTTGAAATCACCCTAAAATTCTTTGAAAGTGGATACCCCCCTCTGTTCAAACTAGTATACTAACATCTCCGTAAGAGAATTTACATCCATGAATGGGATTGCAGCTGTTATCAGAGAAAGTTGTGGAACATGTTGTAGGTAAAATCTATACAGAAAGGCCTCCAAATTAAATCTGTGGAAAACAGACGGAGCAAATAAATCAATAACACATATGTAGGATGCACAATACTCAATTACTCATGATATCTAGTCTGCACAAATACAGGGACCTGATCCTCACAAATCTTCATGGAGAGTTAATTTACCCCAACAATATTAAAAAAGGTGTCATATGTAATGGTAAAGAAATGAAAAAACTGGTACTTACTCAAATCCCTCTATAAAACTATGTATTGCCTCACAGTGCTGATTTATCTGCAATTAACCATCAGGCCACTCCTTGGTGAACTTGGTCAGTTCAAAAAGATGGTGTCAGCAGATCTGCATGACATTTTACCTCAGCATTTTTTAACAGAGATTCTTATCCCTGTGCTGCTTTGACCTTGCGTAATTATTTCATACATACATTTATGCATATATGCTTTTCAATTTATAAAAGAACTCTTAGAGAAAACCGGGGGGAGGGGGGGGGGGGGGGGGGAGGGGACAATAGTATATGTAGTGAAATACTGCAGACAGTTCAATAACAATATCATATTAGGAAATAAATACTGCAGACAATTCAATAACAATATCATAATATATAGTGGAAATACTGCAGACAATTCAATAACAATATCATTGTAATCTTAACAAAAACAAGGGATTCAGTATATGAAGTTGGTACTCATTTGTATAGCAACATTACCTGCCATTTCCTCCAGCATAACGTTCTTTTCTTTAGGAATCCATTCCTCAGTTCTAATATCAAATTTGGCTTCACTAAGCGTTTCTTTTGAATTTTGGTAGCTGTAGTAAGTGTTATAAACCTGAATAAAACCATTGTTAGAAATTGAAACTGAGCATTTGATCTCAACCACAACTGTTCATATATTACCTAAATTCGTTACTCATATTACAGATTGGTTGTGTAATAAAATAATACTTGGGCTTCAATAAAGGGACTTTCTACTGGAGGGTGAACAATGAGTGCATGCATGTTAAAAGAACGGCAGTATGAGGCCGGTCGATTAGAGTTGAGATCATGTTCCAATTACATCTCACATAATATACAACATCAGTATAATATTCACACAACAACAATGAGAAATGACTATATCTACATCAGCTCATTACAAATATATTATGGGACAAAAATGAGAAAATACTTCACTACAAGTTTACCAGCACATTAAATTCTTCTCAATTCGTTTTAAGAAGTTTTTGTTTAGATTAGTTCTAAAACGTTAGATGGATTGAGAAATGCAATGACAGATTGACAGCCAATATACACAAAGAAAAGAATCAGGCAAGGAAAGAGATAAATAGGGATTAATATTACCTGCTTGAAGCAGAAGTCGATGCTCCCAGACTTTAGTATACCAGATTCATTGTGATTATTCCCAGTACTAAAACTGAAAATTTGTTTGCCACCAGACATGCCTGCAAAAATGCAAAGTAGTTACATAAAGCAAGATACTTGAAATTTCGAAGATTAAAGCAGGATAGTTGAACTTTCGAAAATGAAAGAAGAGAGAACCAAAAATGGTTACTAATGATAATTGAGCTCCATCAAACAATAAAAACAGGACTTTATGTCACTAAAATAGTTGATATCAAGCTAGTGCATATATATTCGTAAATTGTCTTCTAAAGATTTCAATTCAAATTAGTGCATTTGTTACCTGGAACAGCAGGGAGCCAGGGAGGCATAACAAAGTGTCCATTGCCCCATAAGGCCATAAATAACTATGTTCAGAGATGCCAAGTCGTCGACTAGGGTAAAGCTACTGTAAGTGAACTAAGCAACCAATCATTAGGCCTGTCCATCATTATCTGGGTCTGTTCAAAGATATGGTGTTAGCATATTATAACTTCTTTCAAATCCATAATAATCATTGCAATTCCAAAATTATCAAATTTATCTACACTTGCAGGATAAATTATCTAATGTTTTAGAAATAAAAAATGAAGCAATGGATATCCCTTGAACATCTGCACACAAATTAATAACCATTCATCCAATCATGATCAAACCGATAAATATATGAAGTTGGGATTAATATGTAACTCTACATGTAATCATTACCTGTTATTTTCAGTAGAACAGTGTTCTCTGCTTCTGGAATCTGTCTTACAGCTTCAATATCAGTAAATTCAAATTTGGCTTTATCCAGCCTATGTTTTAGATTCTGGCAGCCATAATGAAAATTGTAAACCTGAAAAAAACCAATTGTTAGGTACAAGACTATAAGGGGAGAAATTCCAGTCTCTTGAAAAAAAAAAAAGTTCTCAACAAGTTTCACAATGTGTTGTCAGCCTATTAGCAATGTGTAACAGAATAACTAGGTAAATGTAGGCAAGTACTTTTACTAACTTTCCAAATAAGCAAATTGTGACAGCAAAATTCCGAGGCCAACTTTTTTTTTGTTGGCTAAGGGCCTGTGATGGTGTCCAAGCAATTTCTAGACCAGCCATACGCACTCAAAGAAAACAGGGCAACACTCACAAACACGGTAGACAGCAAGTTCATAAGTATGAATCACTATTATTAATCGTGGCTCACAATATAAGCTTACAATAGGCGTTCTCTCTCTAAAATCTCACTCTAGAGATCTCCAAAATTCTCTGTTTATAGCTAGGCACAACATACTTACGCCCAATACACCCACTATTACAATAATTGCCCTATTCACCTGTTCAAACTATTTTATTTCCCTAGAAATCTAGAATGAATCTGGCCTAATTCACTAGTTCGCATACATAGGGGATGATAGCATCCCATCAGGTTAATTGCTGCTCAACCGCAACGCTCCACTAATGTCATGTCTCCTATACTTTAAGAGCCATGCATCAGTGGTGCGCAATAAAGCATCCAACTGCCCAATCACCAATATAACTCCCCACAAATATAGTGTTCCTACATATTAGGAAAAACCTAGTTAGTGGCATAACTGCTGGTAGACATGGCACAATCCTTCCAAGATAAAAAGTTAACTACCACCTAACATAGTGCCCCTATTTTCTAGCACCACCCTTGGTCAACTCAATCGTCAGTCAGCCCACTAACATCATGATCCTATCTTTTAAGTACCATACCAATGCCACGTCATCATAACCGTTTTGACAATTAAAGAAGAGTACCGCCCGTCGTTCACTACTCAGCCCTCCAAACATCAAGGCAACCTCAAGCACCATATGATAAGTAACAACAAGGGATTTACCACTCCATGATCCCACTAAAGTAGTCATAGCACACCATCCCACCCCACAGTCCTTCTAAGGAACCCATCTTATAGCCACGGGTATCCATAGTCCCCACCAATGTGGGGAGCAAAGACAACACTGATTAAGAGTTTTTCTGTTTACCTTATTTTCACTTATTGTTTCAGATAAATTCAGTTTAGGTTTAATAAATTCTGATAAGGGTTACTCAAGTACAAATTACAACTAAAATAAGTTTTAATAAGGTCTATAATAAGTTAAAATAAGTTCAGATAAGTGAAAATCAGGTAAATAGAACACACCCTAAGCCATGCAAAATAAGTGATCTTAGCTGTTATAAAAAGAAAATTGATTACTGAACCTTATTTACTCTCATGCCACATCGAGGTAGTATAGAAAAAAACTGTAAAATCCAATCCATTCTATCGTAGTTTGTCTTAACGATTTTGCTAGGACATCTTTGCTAAACTTTCCTAAGACTTCTAAAGCTCACACAGAACTGTTCCAAAGCCTTGCTATGTAGTAGTAATCTAGGGAAGGTAGTTTACTTAGTGTTTGCATTCAGGTAAAACTCTTGTTTAGTTGCTTGAAAAATTTAAGGAAGCGAAACGGAGTGAAGTACAGTCGGCTACAGCTAATTGGCTTAGACAATTCTTCTTATCTAGTCCTAGCAAATATTCACCTTAACCGTCCTTCATGTGCTCAAAGCCATAGAGTCACCCTTAATCGGTCAAATGTTCACGTTAACCGTCCTTCATGTGCTCAAAGCCATAGAGTCACCCTTAGTCGGTCACTGGCCCCCTAAAAAGCTTTATTTTGAACTAGCTAAGAATTTCTAGTGAACACCCAACTCACAACAACACAATAATAGGCTCTCAGGCCATCCTTTGAACCCAATCTCCACCCTTAGGCCATCTATAATCTACTAGAGTCCCATTAAGTCCCCTTAATCAATATTATAGCTTGTTATGGTACTTTGACTAATCAAACACTCTGAGGTTCTTTAAGAGCGCGCACACAAATTAGCCACAAGGCCAAGGCCTAGTTGGCTAACAACTTGTTTGCACCAAATCTAAACATCTAAACATACAGAGTAATTCCAAATGACTTACAACGCCTTACACACAAGTGTGATCCCTCTAGATTCCACTTTGATTGGTCTCTTTGACTCGAGGCTCCGCACAGTCATGCGGACGATGCAGTCTCGCAGAATCTCGAAAGCATTGCATGCCTATGCCGCTATGCGGGTGATCAACGCTCGTGCAACTTTTGACTAAATTGGTTGTGACAAACCTCCCTTACTAAAATAAGATTTACGTGCTCGTTAAAAATTTACGAAGCAAACCCTCGCACGATTCGTGCTTTACAAAGCACTAACTCTTTACTTAATTTTGGTTGCACCAATCCCTCTACTAATGATAGATTATATGCCTCAAGCATAACTTTGTCAGCAAGAATTTTATCCTACATTCCCCCGCCTACCAAAGTACCAAGCCCAAAGAGGCACCTTTTGCTTACAAGAAACCTAAAGAGGCCTAACCTAGTTTAGGTGTGGGTGGGTGGTTGGATAATGGATGCCTCGGTCCTAGATAACGCAGATCCAGTTCCGGAGAAGGGGAACAAAGAGGGGGTTGCAGTGCCATCATAATTTAGATGCGGCAAAGTTTGTGGAACTAATAGTGCTTTCTAACTCAGAATAGGAGGATGTTGTCAATGCAGGAACAACCTCCGAGGACTCGGTGAGCTAGAAGGGATATTACTAGAATGATAACGAAGGGAACATGTTTATCCCCTCACCGGAATACAACCCCACTAATCCCGAGCGTTTATGCATCAAGCCTCGGTTGGGACCTTTTCTACCTTCAATCGTTGTGCGACTATTATTTTCCATCCTTTTTAAAGAATTGCTTTACTTTCTATTGCGTAGTTATGTTATTCTAATTTTGTTAGGTCGAGAAGTTATTTTACTATTTTTACTTGATGTAAATTAGTAATGTACTTTCTATTGATGAAAATTTCAACATTTATTTAATACCTTAGTTTGTTTTATAGTTTTAAGTTCGGATACCTATTATGATACTAGCTGAATGTGGGCACAGGGCCAATTAGTAGATTGAGGTGCCACACCCCTTTGGACTACAATACCACTTAAATGTATCGGATCAGGATGCAGGCACTAAGACCTTAAGGCAAAGTCCCTTGCAAATCTTGTTATGATCTTGAGAATTCCAATTAAAATAGGAGAACCCTATGGAGTTTGCATCATAGGCTAGGAGTTACACCCAATTCTCATGAATTACTAGCCGGATGACATCGATGGAACTTGTGCTATAGCAAGGTAAGGAACCCCATGGTGAATAGCCCAATGACACAAGTGGTTGATATTTTGTGTTAGGCTACATCTTTGGGATAATCAAGCAAGGTGGGCAACGTAAGTCTCATTAGAATGAGCGCATGGACGTGAGATCCCATGCAAATCGAATTTCTACAAAGATTTTTCTTTTAGAGCCATGGGAACCTCGTAGGAGTAGAGATTGGATTTACTAGAGCATCCAAACCAAAAGGCTATATCTATGCAAAACAAAGGTCTTAAGCCTCGCCTTGCGAAGGGTTAGAGCAAGGTTTGAAAAGCTCTATGGTTGCTACATGCAAACAAGATCCATGTAGGACCCAAGCAAAGATGGTGAGGAATACTCGTCCTAGGGATGAAAATAGGACCATAATGTTAATGGATTGACTGACAATTGAATTGACCAAGGGTCAATGATGGTAATTTCACGACCATGCCACTGACGATACGGCTCCTAGAAAAAAGGAGCACCATGTTAGTGGGTAGTTACCCTACGACGTGCATAGTTATCTTGGAAACATAGTACAACGTTCACAAATAGTTATGGTTTGTAAAATGTAGGAACACTATATTAGTGGACGGTTATGCTGGTTTGTGGGCAATTCGATGCCTTATTGCGCACTACTGATGCGTGGTTCCAAATTATAGGAGACATGCAGTTAATAGGGCTCTACAGAAACAAGGGAAGTTTAAAGTGGATTACCCCCTATGTACGTGAACAAGGCCAGATTCAATAAAGGATATGAAGTAGTGGGCAGTTATTGTAATAGTGGGTGTAGCAAGCAATTACATAATAACACCTAATAACTGACTGGCTGTACTAGTATGTTGTGCCTAAATATAGATCTTTGCATTCATTTGCTACAAAGAAAATTTTAGCGGCTCTAAAGAGAGAATTCCTATTATAAGCTTTTATTATGAGCCACGATTAGTAAAAGTGATCTATTGTGTTTGTGTGTGTTGCCTTGTTTATTGTCAATGTGCGTGCGCCTAATCTAGACACCATCACGAGCCCTTAGCTTAAAAAAAATGGTAGCCCTCAAAATTTCCCGTGGTAACATCGTGCTCCATTCTTGAAAATTCGATTTCTAATTTGAACTTATTTCTACTCTATTTCGTTTTTTAAAATAACATTTTGCTTTGTTGTCATGGTGTAAAACAAGGCCACATTGTTAGGTTGGGCTGTTTTGTGTAGTGCAAAACTCTAATTAAGGCACTTAAAATAAAAAAAAAAAAAAACAAAAAGATTAATACACTGCTTTGTACCCTACATGATTTTTAGTGGTTTAAAATAACATGTGATAAATACTACTTCCGTAGTTTATAGATTTCAAGTAGGACAACCTAAAGAAACCAATGGAATACTACAAAATCCAACAAATATAAGCATGTAGACAAAAGGATAAAGTGCAATAAACACTAAAGACAATTAGTAAAGAGATTAAGTTAAGACTTAGGTTACCTCCATGAAGTGGAAGTTGATGCCACCAGAGGTTTGATTACCGGATTTATTGATATTATTCCCAGTATTAAAACAAAAAAATTGTCGACCTGCAATTAAATGTAAAAAAGTAACATAAGAGAGGTAAAAACTTAAAAACCAAATAATCCTAGGATAAATAGGGAATTCAAGATGAGGAAAAGTATAAAAATAAAATCTTATACAATTATATTTTTTTAATGTTTTACATATAAAACACATACAAAAGAAGTAACATGTCTAAATAAGGAAAAAGTTCAAATGGAGCGATTAAAATAAATGGAATTGAACAATTCTAACCCAGACCTAATGACCGAACCTGAATGATAGAAAACATTGACCCTAAACCCGAATGATAGAAAACATTGACCCGAAACTAGCAAGTGGGCCCATGACCCGAAACTGACTCAAAAACATTGACCCGAAAATGACCCGAAACCCAAAATTGACCCGACCCGACCCATACCCATACCCGACCCGAAAATGAAGTTGACCTAATCCTGACCCAACACCCGAACTGACCCGACCCGAAATAGACCCAAAGTGTTTGACCCGAACAGACCCGATACCCAAAATTGACCCGAACAAACCTGATACTCGAAATATCTTGAACTAAAATTACCTTATAATTGAACTTAAAATGTCTTGTACCAAAAGTAACTCAAATTGTTCATCTTCAACCGTAGCTAAGCTCATAAACTGAATTGATAGTTTTTATTATAACAATAACAAAATATATACTCCGTATAAAATTATTCATTTGAGCTTGATTCACAAATGAAACAACCCGAACATGACCCGACCAGATTTTGACCTGAGCTAAATATGACCCGAACATACTTGACCCAAAATTGACCCGACCCGAACTTGACCCGATACCTGACCTGAAGTTGATCCGAAACTCGAATCGACCCAACCCGACCCGACCCATACCCAACCCGAATATTAGCTGACCCGAAATAACCCAACCCGAAAATGACACTATACACGTACACATTCTCTTTTACTAACATCTTAAATGAGTATGCATAAGAGAAAATATTGTAGTCATGTTGATTTTTTTTAATAAAGTGTTTTTGTGTTACGACCTTATATAACTTATTGATTCAAAACATTAAAGTTATAAGTGGTTATTAACTACAATTTGAAATGTTATCAATAGCCAATATGATATTTTGTCCATTACTTTTTACCTGTAAGACTTCCACTTCTAAACAATTCACAAATATTATTTTGACAAGCTTTGATATAATTAAGTTAATTTTGTTAGATTCACCTCGCGTTATACTTTCCTAGTATCAAATTTTTATGATTTTTACTAATTAATAATTAAATATATTAGTATTAATACTCCTTTGTATACAAAATAAGTTTAAATTTGTATTTATGTAAATTGTAAAAAACTGATACCATAAAAATATATTCAATTTGATTAATATAATCCAACTAAAATTTACATAATAACATATAATATACTTCATAGCTAGATTACATACTTTCTCCATAATTTTTAGATGCATCACTATTGTAATTGCAGGCTCTTAGACAATTATTGAAACAATAAATCTTATACAAAAGAAGGTCAATTTAAGGGTAACTTTAATAATTTTTATGGTAACTTTGACCCATTTAAGGGTAACTTTTAATTTGTAATGAGTTTTATTTATTTTAATGGGTATTTTCTAATGAATACGTATTATAAAAGCTAATGATTAATCTAATACTTCGTACAATATAAGTGTTTTTCTAAGAGTATAATATGTTACAAAAATGGTAAATTTTATAATATATAAGGATAACTTTATATACTTGTAGGGTAAGTTTAATCAGTCTTACCATAACTTGTTTAAAATTTTCCTTAATCATGAATTTGTGTTTTTGGAGTAGAAAGATAGAAAAATAAATAAAGAGGAGTTAGTTGACTCATGTAATAAGAGAGATAGAGATAATATATAACTAAAAGGAAAATTATTGATGCATCTAAATTAAATCTTTCATTCAAAAAAAGTGATGCATCTTATAAAAAAATGGAAGAAGTATATTAATACTAAAAAGCAAGTCAAAGTTAATACTAAACTGATATACTTAGGCCCTGTTCTTTTGAGCTTATGGCAGAGCACAGCAGAGCAAATTTCATAGCAGAGCAGATTATTGTTATTGTTATCTTTATTATTGTTATTATTATTATTGTTATTATTATTTTTAATATTATTATCATTATTATTAATAATAATAATAATAATAATAATAAAAATAATAATAATAATAATATTATTATTATTATTATGATTATGATTATTTTTATTATTATGATTATTTTTATTATTATGATTATCACATTATTATTATTATTATTATTATTATTATTATTATATGATTAATATTATTATTATTATTTGATATTTTTTTTAGATTTTTTACTCTTTTTATAATATTAGAAAATGTGTTAAATACTATAACCTCCGCTCCAGAAAATTCGACTCACTTATTATTCATATGGTCAAAATAAAATAACTTTGACCACATTTTATGATTTATATAATCAAAATAAATTAACAAGTTTGGTCTTATTAGATTCCCCTACTGATAATTTTTTCAAATATCAACTTTTAAAAAAATTTACTTATACATAGCCAAAGTTATTAATTGTTAAAAATATTCATTGGAGACCGTGCAAATTCAAAGTGAATCAAACTTTGGGAACGGAGGGAGTATAAAATATTAATGATTATCATTAAATATTAGTTATTATTATCAATTAATAATATTACATATTAATTATTATTATTATTATAAAATATTATTTATTATTATTAATTATTATTTTAAAGCAAAGTAGAGTAGAGTAAAGTTGAGCAAATTTCAGCAAAAGTAGACAGGGTAGAGTAGCTCAAAAGAACAGGCCTTATTCAAGATGAGAAAATAATTTCATTGACAAAGATAAAATATTAATGAATTTTTTATTTTCTTTTTAAAAAAAAATAGAGGAATTACATCACCTTTTACAAAGAAGTACTCTGTGAAGTGTGAACTAATATGATTCAAGAAGAAAGACGCTGAAATGATTCTTGAAAAATGGCACAGAAATTAACAATACTCATTCCATTATTGTTACAGTATTTAAAAAGAAGAGAAAAACCCCTAAATCGGGATGTGTCATATCATTACCTGAGTTCTTCAATACAATATTGTTCACCACTTCAGAAATACTTTTTCCAACTTCTTCTATGTCTGTATATTCAAGCTTTACTTCATCGGGCATAAACTTCCAATTCTCACAGGTACAATATATATGATGTAACTGAATAAACAAACAAAATGTTGTTAAATGCAATGGAAAAAGTGATACCTCGTATTCTCTTATAGTATATGACTAAAACCTAGCAATCAGGTCGTTTGGATCAAAGGTATATTTGAGTCAATAAATAGTAGGGTCTTTGATATCAACAAATTCAGTTCAACCACATTAACGTCTTGTTGAAATAAATGAAGTACAAATCTAAGGAGAAAATACAAGTTTATGACTTTGATATCAATAATGTATTTTCAAATGGGAAAATAGTAAATAAATCACAACTTTTTATTAGATATGAGGATCATGGTTGTTAATATACACTCTCTCCGACCCTCCGTGTTTAAATAAATAACATGTTTTGACTTTTACGGAATTTTAGAAAAGTTAATGAAATTTATGAAAATAATAGGTAGTGGAGCATAAGTTGAGGAAAGAAAAGAGCGTAAGAGGTTCTGCGAGGACCATTAGTTAGTATAATGTTATAAAAAATAAAGAGAATATTATTAAAAAAAATGGAAAATAGAGAGAAGTTACATAAAAAAATATATATTTTATTTATTTAAACATTGATAGATAAAGAAAATGTTTTATTGATTTAAACATGGAATGAGTATATAATTACAAAAATGACATGCTGATTAGAAATTTTGTTGATTAATTTAAGATTTTATCAAACTAATAAACCGAGTTCCCTCCAAATTCCATATAACTAGGGGGGGGGGGGAAATAGGGAAGAAAAAAAAAAACGAGAGAGAGAGGGAGAGAATATAATAAAAGGAGATCAGCAAATTACGGGTAAAGGTTGGGTGCTCAGTGCAGGTCAAATGAGAACTGTCCCATCGAGAAGGACTATCCAGTACCCATGTCCCCCCATATGGCCATATCTTGGTTTTGACAAATTAAAAACATGATACAAAAATAAGAATAAATTACTTTCTCTATGTGCAACATTTTGATTTGGCATATTTGTAGATGGACATTTATATTTTTAATTTCTTATTGGTATTAATTACAAAGTAGATAAATGACTAAATGATGATATTACTTTTAAAAAATATATATTATTCCTAATTTAACAAAAAATACATTACCAAATACAAATGCAATATATTCAAAAAAAAAAAAAATCTCTAAGAGAATATTACAATAATACTCAAACTACATAGTTTTACATTTCACAAGAGATTGAAAGGCAATTTAGTATGCAGATTTCTTTTACTCTCATTTTTAAAGGGTTTCCCTAGTAATGCAAACTAGATTTAAACTGTCAACTTTTCGATTTGAGAAGACATTAAAAAAAAATTATTAATAATTTCATGGGAACATTAAAAGAAGGAAAAAGGTAAAAAGCAGTTAACTTTTTCCCGAAAAAAAATAAAAAAGTCATTCCAAAATTAAGTTTCAATCTAAAATGGTCCATTTGCTTTTTCTCTATTGTCAGTAAGATTTTTTTTTTCTCTATTGTCAGTAAGATTACCAAGCAACTATATCTTCTAGCAACTGGTTGATTATATATTTTAGGAATATTTTATTCGTACCTTTTGAATTTACTCAATTTACACAGTACATCGTACGGTATATTCTACAATTATAAATTTCTTCTATTATCCCTGTGAATTTGATACTGTACTCGTGGGCTATTGAAGTCAAAATACTCACTTAAATACTGTTAATTTTAATGTTTAAAAATTTTGTAAACTTTTTTCTAAAAAACAACCCTTAATTGGTGCAGAACTGGTGATACACATATTAATATCTTATTAATTGTTTTAGTTATGAATTATAATTTGCTACTTTTTGTAAGCAATGGAAATTGGAGATGACCTAATTTCAACTTTTTATAAATTAATTCTGATTGAATATACGTAGTACATTGGATCTAAAACTACTTTATATGTTATATGTTATATAAACTTGAAATTGAATAAAAACGGCTGGAAAATAAGAACAAATAAACCAAAAAAAAAAAAAAATATATATATATATAACCTAGATTCGGATAGCAATTTTTTTTTTTTTTTTGACAGATTAGGGCAAGATCTTGCGAAAAGATGTTGCTAATCAAATCCTTATATTTTACTTCCTAAAAAAACAGATCTTCAATGAAATTCTCAAATCCATAAGAGAAAGGGTCCACGAAAATCTCAAATCATACAATATGAACAAGATTTACACCACCATCTAATAAACCAAATTGATGTAAAAAATAAAAATTAAAAATTAAAAAAAAAACCCAACAATATATCAAATATTTTGAAAGAAATTATACCTTGTTGCAGTCAATATTGATTTCTCCATTATATTGATCTCCAGATGCATTCCTATTATTTCCGGAGTTGAAATGCGTAACTTGATTGGGAAGATGAGAATGAATGTCATCGGAATTTGATTGTTGAAAATCAATAACCATGGTTTTTTGTGAGAAAAAGCAACGAAAAGAAAACTGAAAAATGAGAATGATGAAATTGAAGAAGTGAAGATGAGTTTGTTATGGAGGGATGTTTTTGTTTGACTTCTTTTTCTTAATGATCGCCTGATCGAGTTAGGGTATTTAACCTTTTTTTTTTCTTTTTTTTTTTTTTTGAGAAAGGATATTTATTTATTTACTAGTTTAGTCCAGTGCGTTGAACGGATTAAATAGTTATTATTTGTTTAAAATGGTTGTTAATATTCTTTATTAGAAAAAAGTGTAATTATAATTTGATTAATTAATTTTGAAAGAAGTATTGTATTTTTTTTAGTCTTGAAACTTAGAAGGAAATAAAGAGAGGAAAAAAAAAATTATGTCAAAAATAGTTTAGGCGGGAAAATTTTTCATGAGAAGTTGACATGTGTCCCTTAATAATGTCAGCATATTTTGTTTCAATAATAATTAATAGATTTAAAAAAACAATAATATCGGTTGTTATTTTAGTAATATTTATTAATAATTAGTGTCTTTCTTAATTAAGAAGAATAACATAAAATAGTTTGTTTTTTTTTTTTTTTTTGATGAAGGAGGAGCAGCCCTTGAAAAACAAGAGAAACCAGCAAAACTAGAAATTAAAAAGGCAGGAAAAAAACCAAACACAAAACGACAAAAACAAAAAGACTACAACAAGTAATCAAGCCGCCAAAGCCCGGAACCTTCCTTGTAATAGTACCTCCTCCCAAGTCCTCCAATAGATTAGCACAAAGATCTGAAGGGTCCGTCTTGATCAAAGAGCTTAAACCGATGCTCTAAATCCACTCCAGCATTAGCAAGCCAATCAACAGTTCAGTTGGCTTTTACGGTAACTATATATGGTGAATAGTTATCCTCCAACCTCCCTCTACTAATCATACTCTTGCACCTTCGAATAATGTATTATAAAAAGGAGAATTAGGAACAGTTTAAGAGTAAATAGCCACTTCCAAATCCAAGGTCAGTTAGATACAACATAAGAATGTGAAAAAGTGGTCTTAGGAGCGTTTGAGTTGTAGATATTAGGTTTTAAGTATGAGGTTGAAATGGGTAAAACTCTCCTATATTTTTATAAAAGATCTTGCTTCGAACGCCGTCTCGAAGAAATTAGATAATAATCTAATATACTTTGGTATTAATTTTTGGAATACATACCAAAATCATGCATTAATCAGTATAATATATTACTCCTTTATTTAATCAGAATTGTTAATGAGAAGAGAGGAAACCCAAATACTCCCCTCTCATAGATGCCACATCAGCATTTTAATTTAAGAAAATTTCATATCATATCATTGAATTATCAAAATCAACTCCTAACAAAGTCAATATTAATTTCGATAACTTATGCCAAATTCACTAAAAAGTAGAACAACAAATATATAACTAATACCAAAATGACAACCGCTGACATATCCTCTCCTAGAATTAGACACATGTCACGTTATTATTAAAAATTTCCCTCCAAAATTATAATTGATGCCATCATTTTATGATTTTTATTTTATTTTTATTAAAAATAATTATAGTCAGCATTATTATTTTTAGTATCAATTTCTGAAAAACAATTTATTATCTCTAACAATAATAATTTAAAATTTCTTCCGCGGGTACCCCTTTTATCATTCAATTTTTCTATCCGCTCTAAATTTTTCTTTTTTAAATATTAAATGCATTAATTAATTCGGAATTTTTTTCTTTATTTTTAAATTTTGGTATGAAAAAATAAACAAATTTTATTTGTTCAAATCGTGCATCGCATGAGACCAATCTAATTAACTATTAAAAATGTTCACAATCACATTCATTGTCAGCATAATCTATTACTTTGTATTTGAGCTATAAAATATATAAACTCTATAATTAATAAAATGTTAACAATACTAACTAATGAAAAATACGCAACGAAAAAAAACCCTAAAATTTTCTCTGTTGCCTCTCTTCAAACCTAGCCATCATAGTAAAACTTAGGGGCTGCCATTGATTTTTATCGATGGTAAGCCCCAAATTCTTCTTTAATTTAATGTTTTTAGCCAATAAATTAAAGATCACCAACAGTATGGTGATTAAAGTCAATCCCTCCATGCATGTAGGGTTTAGTAAGTTCCCTAATGATGGGATGTTTAGTATTGTTTGTTTGTTCTTTTTTCCTGTGTGCAAGGATACAAATTTGGAAGATTCATTTTGCAAATTTGTGGAATTGCGGATCTGTTGGTGGGGTGCAGATTTAGAAGATTTGTCTTGCAAATTTGCAAATCTTGATGACCAATCAAGTTTTATCACTTTTGCGACTATACGTCTATGGAGCTCCTTCAAGAACAATGCAAAGACATCTAAAATTACCCAGGAGCAGTTCAGAAGCGATGCCGTTAGTTAGGGGTGTTTAATTCATGTATTGAGAATTTAGATCTCGTAAGGGATGATGGTAAGTGTTGAATGACTATTATTATTTAATGAAATCACCTCTCCCTATTCCATTCAACAAAAAAAAAAACATTCTCAAATTTATGTTGGATAACTCTTAGGAATAGTATGCTACCAATTATACCCTCACAAATATATATTTACATATTAATTCTCATGGCCTCATGTCCTTTAATAAGCCTTAAATTGTTTTATGTCTTTTTATATATTCATGATTAACGAAATTAGACATTTGTGGTATAAGCCTTTGTTTTAGTACTACTGTCCAATGAAAGTATTATATTAGCTACTAGGCAACCATAGCGTCATTTTGTGTTCTTTTTCTTAATTTTCAGTTTGACCCATTGTAATAAGCCTTTGTTTGATTTTCTTAAGTTAGATAGCGATTTGGTTTAATTCGCTGGTCATTACTACTCTTTGTTCTAGGCTAAAGCAAGGCGTCTAGGTATGGTTTTCTTTCCTTTATCTTTACATGATGTAGCTTCCTTCCGCATTGAGCTTAATGGTTATCATAGTTTTGATTACAAATTTACAACTACAGAACTACTTATTTGGACGCTCATTATAGTTGGACAAATTTATAGAATCTGGACTAATTGGACTCATTGTATATAACTCTACATGTTAGTTGGAGTCTCTGAATTCGACCTTAGATATCTTTTAAATTTCATTTAAGACTCGTATTACCTTTGAACTCTTTTTTTGGATGAACAAATGGCCATTAATGCTAATTTGCCCAACCCTTTTGTATGCCACAGTTTTATGGTTATTGTTTCGGGGTTTTCTGATGTCCTGCGGGAGAGTTACAATTCCGAGACTGGAACCGGACGCCTGTACCTGCAAAACAAACGGATGCTCCGAATGATTGGAGATCCGCCTCCGACGGTCAAGTTATACTTGATTAAGGAGTAATTAATGCGGAAATTAAAGTGATTGGGTCTCTCTAGGTGAGAGAGTTTAATGTGTGTAATCTGCGTAATCTCCCTTAATGAGGATTAAGGGAGGTATTTATAACCTCGGGAAACGTGCCAATCTAGGTTTAGGTTAACCTTGGGCTGATTGGGCTTCCCACGGAAGTTGGGCCTAGGTGACCGGTTATCCCAGGTGTCATGGGAAGGACACGTGTCGTGTCGTAATTGGTCCATAGTGGACGGATCATTGTTTGACACGTGGCAGGCTCCTATTGGCCCATGTGACGGACACATGGCGGAACCTGATTGGTCCACTTGTCAGATGGTGATTGGTGGGGAAAAATCCCCTAATCATTTGCCCCTCACAGGTGGCACGTGACTGGTCACGTGTTACCTGTGACAGGTATCGCCCTGTAACAGGCGACGGCCTGCTACAGGTGTCACTCGGCGAGAGGCCGAGAGATTCTCCCGCCAAAATTTTGAATTCTGGAAGTGACCCTTCGCCTTCTCACTTCGCCTATATAAAGGAGTGTTGACTTCGGTCATTTTCACACTTGAAAACTTTGTGAGAGAACATTCGGACCCCTGAACTTGCTCTGACATTTTGGACCCTTTCTGCCTACCGCCTGCTCTGACAAGCCGACTGCAAAGGATTTTCAGAACTTCATCAATCGTCACTCGTTCAGGTAACCGTCGGTTCTCTTACTCTTAATTTTCTCTTTACTTTATTCTTTTTTGAAATGGCACCACGGAAGCACACGACACGACCTAGGTTAGTGATCAGCCGGTCACCGGGGACGGCTGAATCTAGGACTAGGAGTGCCGCCTGCCCTTTTCTGGACCCATCTTTGCCCTTTATACAAAGTCCGACTGTATCTGTGTCTATGCAGAGCATGATGGCCAGAACAAAAAAGACTGTCAGGATCTCAACCTCAGACGGCTCCTCCCACAGGGTGCCGATTAGTGAAACATCTGATCAGGCGCCAGATGTGGAAGTGAAACAAAGCGGCTTGAAAGCCGGCAATTCTGAGAGAGGAGTCAAAGTGACCCCTTCCCATTTTACAGTTGACAATTCTACCTTCTCTCCTGCTCCTTTTAAAGGAGAGGAGGCGGGCCCCTCCGGGAGAGGGGAGGAGTCGTCCTCTTCGGACTCGTCAGAGGATGATTCCGAGTCTAGCTCTTCTGGCCATGCTTCTCTGGACACAGAAGAGAAAAACAGTCGCCTGCAAGAGGCGAGGCTTTCTCACGCAGTTGAGAAGGGGGACGATTGGGCGGAGCCATCCGCCTCTCACCGAGAGCAAAATACCCCCTACTACTGCACGGTACCTCGGGGCCGGATCACAGCCATGCAAGAGAAAGTGGAGAGCTTTATCGCAAACCACACAATGGGCCCCGGCTTTTTAGTGTTCGTGCCGGATCCAGAAGACACAGTCGTCTGGCCGGCTGGTACCAGTTATGATGGCGCCTGCTTTGGCTGCTACGAGGCGGCCATCAAGGCTGGGCTGCGCTTCCCATTACATCCGGCTGTTCAGCGGATCTTGGATGGGTATGAGTTGGGGTTATGGCAGTTAGCCCCGAACTCCTGGGTCAACGTACTCGGCTATGTGGCCGGGTGCGAACTGCACGGGGTGGAGCCGAACTTCGAGGCTTTCGCCCACATGAACTACCTCAGCCGGACCCCTAAGGCAGGCGGTACCGGCTGGTATCAATTGACGAGCCACAGGGGCTACCTCATGACAAGAGGTAAAGCAAACAAATGGAAGGACCGGCGGAGCACCTTCCTTATCATTGAGAGTTCAGACACAGAGCTAAACAAGCGTTTCAACAGGAGGAACAGGAATCTGCCCCTTCTTGCAGGCGGCCGCAGCATGCCACCTGTTCCCCCCAAGGCTAAGAAAGAGATCCTAGATAAAGGACTCTTCAAAGTAGAGTCGAAGGTGAACTCTACTTCAGGGATACGAGAGCAAGTACCCCTGCACTGCGTCCCGAGCTTCAAATGGCTCTACGACGAGTACTTTTTGGCCGCCTGTGGCCTCAGCAGTCGGTGCTCAAGAGGTAGCCGGCCTTTCGAATACTATGTTGTTCCATGCATTTCTTGTTATGACTTTTATTAACTTTGCTATTTGTTTTTGCAGCGGACGCCATGAGCAAAATTACCGCCTCCAAGACTGCGGCGGCCATGTTGCGGGCCTCCATCATGCAACAGTCTTCAACCGACTCCCCCAACAAGGGGGCACCCTTGGTGAGCTTCGAACCTTTCACCCTCTTTTTGGAGTTGTGTTTATGCATATACTGACTCTTTTCTTCTTTTTTAGACGGGCGCTCCAAGAGCTTCTTCTTCCCAACAGCCGGACCCCAAGGCCCGGAGGACGACTGTTGCGAGCTCTCCTGGTTCTGCCAGGAAACATGTGACGGCTTAGAAACAGCCGGCCACTTCTTCTAAAACTCCAGCTGGGCCACCTAGAAGTATGAAATTATCCTTGTAAATTTTAGACTTGCTCCCTTCTTTACTAGGTCTAA